ATTTTACTTTTGACCTTTAGGTTATTCAGCTTCATTTATTTGTGACCCTCTAGAAAAATGTCTTCGCATTCACAAAGATGGGAATACGAATGAGAGGTCTTGTACGGTTGTACGCAGCACTCATTGCTCCTACGTCTATTCCGACATTGAAAACTGTGGATCATGACGTGGAAGAAATGCTCACGACAGTCTTTCTGGAGAGTGTTTACGATTATTATTTTGGTAAGTGGGATGCATATTAGTATCTGTGTCAGTGTCCAGGTCTAACTACACCGCACCTAACGCTGTCCTTAGAAGATCTTTGGCAACAATGTGCAATAACCAACGCGAAAAAACAGAACACAGATTGGTGACTCGAAAATCGTTTATTGTTGCACCAATATGGAACCAACAATAAGGTTTTTATGCACAAAGTCTAATAATAAACTTCATGGCAATTAATCACAATGATACTTCTGATAGTATCTCTCCGTCTTCTAGCGAAATGCGGACGATGGAACGATGACTGCAGTATCGTAGAAATCTTGCCAAAATATAGAGTTGGTTTTGAGTAAACAACCATGAACTGATTGTTCATTCTTCAACTACATTGACAAACTGAGGTGCGTCAGTGGCACAGAGGTCAGGAAGTTCGCCGACCATGTACATGGTAGGGGGTTTGATCCCCGACCGACGCACTTCTTTACATCGTTAATCCTGAATTATTGCTGCTAAAGAGGAGAGGTTGGACATGAAGCTATCAAACCCAACCTGTAAAATAAACACTGCTACAGAAACTTCAAGCCACTAGCTTGAAGCCGTATGTTCCAATGGGGAACGTGAAGGAAAAATAGGAGCTTCATAGACCACTCATGTCACATTTTTAACACAGGAGGCTGCTGGTCGATGCAATTAATTACAGAAGCAACACGGGAGTTTTTGGAGTGAAATACCCAGAAACAGACTGGTTTCTTAAACCAAATCATATAAGTTATTAGAAATATTTTTGTTTTATCGGAGAACAGTGAGGCCATGCAACTCAAACGCTCTTTTTAAGCCTTTTAGATCGTCTTAATTGAATCAATAAGGTCCTAAACTTCAGCATACCGTTATAATAATGGCAGGCTGCAGTTCATTGTGTATTTTTAGACATACTCAAAATTATCATATATTTAGGTCTAAACAAAAGTTGTTTGCAACAGAGACAGCCAGTCAGCAATATGGGCCTAGTATTGACGACTAAAAAGGGGAAATTCTAATGAGAACAACAAAGTTGTGTTTTGCGTTAAACAAATCAGTAAAATATGTAATAGGTTCTCAATACAGCAGACTGATAGAGAAGGCATATTCGAAAACGCCTTTAGAATGCATACATTTCTGATCAAGGATAAAAAAGAGAATAAATTACAAACTGAAATAACGGCTGTACCAGCACTTTAGGGGGAAGATGATTCCACGGGATGGTAAGTACTTATGTTCTATCTGATAATTTAAGTTGCACGACGCAGTTCAAAGTATGCCTTTTAAAAGAGGATTGTTGTAAAGCTTCAGAATAGTTAATGTCAGTAATTTTTCGTGTTGCAAAAATCTAGGTGAAAAGATTAGTTTCGTTAACAGTAAAACCATATGCTCGCTAAAAATTTAATCTCTCAGTGCGTACATTTTTCATAATGCCACTTTAAATGATGTAGCTCAAAATCATTATATCTAGTAATACAACAAACGATCTCCAATAAAGTGGAAATATCGGGAATATTTAAAATTAGGTTCTAATTCAGTGTATCATGACGCAAAAATTAACGTTGGGCGTAGCTATAACAAAACAAAGGAATGAGCACGAATAGCAGTACTTATTGGAACCTTAGAAACCTCCAAAATTATGATTTAGTATAACAGGTTATCTGATGTGCCAGTTTTATGGCGAAGTTAATAATGAATCCTGAAGGGTCATCTTATGGCACTTAAGGTAAGTAAGCCGATGAGCTGAGAGACTACCAGACAGCATATGTCACTCGCTCCCTAGAAGCTGTCAAGTGAATGATTCCGCGGATGATAAAAGTGGAGGATTTACGCAGCACTGGTTGAGATGTACTAATACGTGTGCATCATGCCTAAGATGTGGTCCTAAATTAAAGTGGTCACCCCGGATTATTTCTTTGGTAGGTGTTGTAGTCACCACTCACCTGTGACTGCTATTTTTGATCATATTCAGCAGTTACACGCACATTTCCGCGTAGTGCCTAGCTGAGCCATTACTAGCTAGTCATTTTTCAAGCCTGCTATCCATAAAGTTGAACACAATACATTGTTTCTCCGAGCTTTCTTGTAAGTAATTCAGCTTTTCAATCACAAGTCTTCCATTAGTACTAACAACTTCGGTTAGCTAGTGAACAAATTAGTGGATTGCCTGCAGACAGTCCGAATATCAGGAAACAGCATAACATCCACTTTTCCTCGTATGTATGGCTAATATCGCAAAGCACAGACACATCCAAAGAATTTTTTATCAAAGAGAAAGATGTTACTGAATGTCGCTTCAAACAGCATCGTACTTCCGTAGGAAATTAGCATAAGTAGTTTTCAAGACACCCAAAATGGGATTGGAAACACCTATTTGTTTTACGCAATGAGGAAAACTGAAAGAAGTAGCGAAATTAGCACCTCATGGTTTCCCTCGAAATCGACCTGGGCGAATTCGCCAGAGAATAGCCTAAATTTTCAATGACTGTTTTATCAGGATATTTAATAGTTGGTCACTGTTACGATGAGTTAGAACGGGGATAGGTGGTAATGGCGTTAACCGCTTAAGTTTATATTGAAAATCAGGAAAAACATGGCTTAAGGAGTGCTCTTTTTCCAAATGAAGTAATAAAACCAAAAGTTTTTTGCATGACCTATCTTTTTTTGAAGATGCATTCGGATAAACCTACTTTGGTTATATGTAAGGCGGTTAGTTAAATTGTGACCTTGAAGGGTAATTATTCGGACCTGTGGTTAACGTAAGCCAGGAAATACATACAGTTCTTATTAAAGTTCTCTTAAAGTACGATATGATTATTACTTGAGTGGGAATTGTGTTGGGAGCGTAGTTAAAGCCTGTAGGAAATTTGCTGCTTAGTTGATGAATAGCCTTGATATTTCACCTATGATAGTGACATGTGCCGTCAGCCGACGACTAGCATTCGTTCACGGTCATTGAAGCGTTCGCAATCCTGGTACGCTATTGTCAAAGTCCACAGGATACATGTGACATGCCATCCTAAGTTAGCGGTATCGGTAATATGCGAGTAAAGTGCAACATATTCCACTTGTCCTACATTTTCAACCAATTTTCCTGTACGTCACACGCTTCCAATAGGTTTAGTCCCCACATTTTCAGGATATCGATGCATTTTCACCTACTTTTGCTCATCCCAGCTAACATTTTCTTCGGACGCAATGCGAAACGTGGGACAAGACCCCTAAGCCTGCTCCAAACATTCTGCAGTGCGCCCTAAATCAATTCTAGCTGGGATGTTCCCCAATATATATACATGGGTGACTTGCATGTTCGAAAAATATATCATTTCTTGAACTGAACGCATCCTGCGTTTTCTTCCCTGGGTGCTTTCCCAAGTCAGTGAATTTGTTTTCTGAAGTCAGGACTAGTTGCAGTGTGGAATTCAGCTGTATTCCACATTGCGACTGAAAACTAGTCCCCAGCTCTATATAGCTCCGATTAAAGGTTATTTAACATTGTTCAGAAGAAGAAAAAGTTTAGCTAAATATTAGTCTAGGATTAGTTGTCATTCTGTTGAATTATTTAGAATCACTAGTGTTTTATGAGGAGTGATTTGTATCTATGCAAAGCTTCATGTCAGAAGGCATCAGCAACAGAGAAGTGATTAAATCACGAGGTGCTATCAGTCCCATAGAACAATAACTGGCTAGTGACCGAACACCTGTGTCTATTCTGCTTATTTCAAATGTTCCTCACATTGCTAAGTCGATAATAAGACTAGTAAAGAGGGAAGGTTGGGCATGAAGCTAGCAATCCCATCCCGTAAAATTAAACACTTTTGCCATCGAAAATTTAGACCTTTAGCTTGAAGCCCTATGTACCACTAGGAAAGTAAATAAATAAATAATAAAGCAAACGTTTTCGGCTTATCTCTGCTTGTAAAATAAGAAAAATAGTAAACAAACATGTTCATCCTTGTTACACAAAACTTAAAGTAGCATCATAAGAGTTCATTGGATTTTCAGAAACTTCAGGTACCTTATAGACTTCAGCAGGTTAGAGCAAATATGCCCCGTGCCTTAAAGTGTGTTTTTCCGTTCGAAATGTTTCCGGTACATCGGATATCTGTCTTAGCTGAGATAACTCATTGGACATACACTTCTTGTCAAAATGCAGAAGTATGACTTATTCTAGGGTTTATCATATGGAAAATGCATGTTAACAGATGTATCAAAGTGAGATTAAAGCATATGTAGCCAAAAATATGCGGTGTTCAGATTGTTATGTTCTTCGAAGTTAATACCCAATCACTTTTTGAACTCAGCTACCTGGAACAGGTCTTTCATGTTCTAGGATATAAACCACACTTATTAAGTGTAAGGGTCAATGATACTCTCCAGTTTTTTTTTATTTCCTTTACATTCCCAGTGGGACATAGGGCCTCAAGATAGTGGCTTGAAGTTGCCTAGGCTAAAGTAAGTGGAAAGGTATTTGAACTCGGGACTAGCTGGCTAAAAGTCGAGTGCTTAAGCCAACATGAGTCACGTTTCCACTTCTAAATAGACAATAAAATATTCAAACAACTAGTCAAATTGAATTTAGATTGCGTTTATAATTAGTCTCCAGATATTTTACACTTTTGATGAATTTACTCATGCTTAAATTTAACCTAATTTCATTTTCCCCATTTGTTTTTTATGTTACCGTTATACTGTCCTTTAAAAATGACTGCCTAACATATATGTTAATCTTATTCATCTTATTGATAGGAATTATTTTTTCCAATAATTATTCAAACAAAATGTGCATCTTCTGGTCTCTTTTCACACTGACCTTCTTATGTGGTTGTGTCCTTACGTCACAAACCACTTTGAATGTAAGTTCATATATGCCTCAATATACGTATCCTTAACTATTTAGGTTACTGTCAACCAGAATCCAGACTGTAATCTGGGAGATAAATGTAAAACATATAATGTTATGTACATCAATGCTCGAAATACTACATCTTCTGTACATATATTTATCACAGCGTCAAGACGTTTTACCTTTCCATCAGTTTTAATTGTCCACAGTTCTCTATCTGAGGCAAATCCAAAAATTGAATGGGAAAAATTGGATGAAACTTCTGGAGAGAGATTAAGCATAAAAAATGTGACTCAATCATATGCCTTAGTATTTTATAAGGTGAGTGAATGATATCTAAAGTCTTCAAGTGTAAACCCACAGCATTTTATAAAGGTTGGTGGTTAGATAAAGACATTCTAGAGTTGTAATTTATAAATCTAGGATAACGATCTATAATCAATATATTATGGTTTCGATAGTCGTTGTGCGGCTTCAGAAACCATAAAGTATCACCATTCCTTATAAGATAGTTATCGACCATTATTTTACTGAAGTTGAAAGTGAGTGATTATCAGGGAAACTTTGCGTGCTTATGAAAGTGTGTAGCCGGTTATTACTTCCCGATCGCCCACACTGTGGAAGTTGATTTCTTCCTAGAATACCTGAAACAAAAGGAGCATTAGTTTTGTGTAACCGTGGAGTCCAGAGGACAAGTGCTTCAGGCCGGTTACACACACGACCTGTTTGAAGTGGTATTTGGAGTGGTGTCCGTGTCAAGATCTTACCACCTCAATGTAAGTTGAGATATACAGTTTTCGGGGCCAACCTTCTCTAACCCTGCCATTTACAGAACAAAGACACGGTATAACTAGCTTGCTTTTCATCTGAGGGGAACATCTTACTACTGTCACATCGACTACGAGTTCACCTTCAGACCCCCAGCATGATATTAACATTTCGGATTGTAAGGGCGTTTGTTACAATTAACAACTTACACTATGCTAGCAACTGACTTTAACACAACCACTATCCGAACGAATTTATTGAAATGGAAGTATCTGCATGAAAATTCTATCCAACCAGTGTATTCTCCAAAAGAATGCATTATGCAAAGTTCTTCATTTGACAAACAATTGCTTTTTTTGATCTACCTCAAATCTTGATTCGATGAATAGTGAGAAATGTGGAGAGTTTTAAACATATCTTAAGACCTATAGAAGTATTGAATTGTCTGATTTAATTAAATGTGCTTCTTTCATGCTCTTAGAAAATGAGAAATCCCAGGAATCTCACTTTAAGTAATCGTAATGAAGCGGACTAGCTAGTTCAATCTGCGTGTCATCCATCACATTTCAATGATAAGTTTTTTATTTTAATTCGTTGCCTCCCGCGTGGCACATAGGACTTCAAGCTGCAGCTTTAAAGCCTCACTAATAAGGGTGTTTACTTTTTACTGAGTGGCTTTGCTAACCTCATGCCCATCCTTTCCTCTTTATTACGCTTACTGTCAGCAGTTAAGGTAAATTTAGGAGTGCTTTAGCCGGGGATCGAGCCCCAGACCACGTGCGTGGTTGGCGAGTATTCTTCCACGGGGGAACTAAAAAGCTTGAACAGTTGTTCAGTCTTAGTTTGATACGTTTTCATGGTGCACATCCATGATTTCTTGTAAAATTGAACCCAAAGCATTTAAAGCACACCTTGATGACTCTATATGTTTTTGATTATTGCTGTCTCTGTAGGATCGCCTGCATCTATAAGCGTCATTTTGTAAGTAATTCTTAATTATGATGGCGTGTGTTGAAAGTTGTCTGTCAATAACTGATGTGATCTTGGTACACCAGCTTTGGCGGATCGAATGTATCGTTCACTGTTTGCTACATCTGGATGGAAAAAAGGGTCGTCAGTCGATGAAGTACTGTGGGATAAAAGTCAGTTCTGTTGAATTAAGACCTGTCGCTGCTTCCTAAGTTGGAAAAACAGATTATCCGAATTAGCGGCTTGAGATGTTATCACTTATGTGACTGAGAATAAAAATCAAAGGTAAACATGTTGTAGTTTCCTCCTCCGAACGCTTCTTTAAATGCTCTTGATAAGTACACTTGCTTGCTTTCACAATACTGTCCCTAAACTATATCAGTTGTTTTCCATTTATTGCGTTTAATAATTTCTGTGTGACTGAGGAAGAATTATTGGCCCTCTAGTTAACAATTTGGAAAGCCCATTTCCATTCGGTCCGCTCTGGTACACTCGTCTCAATGTTTACAAGTCAAGACATCCCAAAGGACTTGGCAGGAGTGAATATATCTCTGAGGAACAATAGTTCTCCTACCGAGTCGTTAACTCTTGAAACTAATTATGAGGAAAAATCTTATATCTGCATCCTCAATCAACTCGTTCATTCAAGAAGGGATTAGACAAAAACACACAATAAGCTGGAAGCTTTCTAACTGATTTCTCGATGGCTTTCACTTTACTGGTGTTATCCGGATTCCGGTGGAGAATAATTTTTACTTTCTTCCCCTTGGGATTTAAAGTCTCAGTAGTGATGGGGTTGTTAGCCCTAAACCCAACTGTCCTTCTTTTTTCAACTTAAGACCAGTTAGTAAATTATGCACAGATTACACATTCATTGAAGCTTCTCTTATTTTCTACTCCTCTCTAATTCTATTAGTTTTACTTTTTTTGGTCTTTATCTAATAACAGATGCTTGAATACAATGATCTGTCTGATAGTGTTAATATGTCTGCATATAAGAATGATTCTGATCAAATATTATTTCACCCACTGAATGAATATACCTGGGACTTTAACACCTTAACTACCGTTAATAGTTTATATGAAATTACATATAATGGAAGTAATAGTAAAATGAATCCAAATGGTGGACAAATTAATCTGAAAGTAAGTCTCATCTGTTGTTATTATTTTTGTTTACTGCTTCAATTTTCCTCGTTCTATGTCTCCTTTATGGCCGTGAAACATGGTCATTGAAAGTAATGGAAAGGTCAGTTGTCTTTGATATGACTGTAGTTGTTTTCGTTCTATCCCCTATCTTAAGGAGTATTATATACTGAGCCATATTGAAGTTAGGCGTAGAGTACTAGGTAAGAAAGAGAAGTTAATCGATGATGTTGTGAAGCGAAATTGATCGAGATGTAGACTGCCTAGTTGGCGACCTTGGGATTCTCTAAGAACCGATGCCTTGGGACTGTTGGTGATATGTCTCAAAATTGTCTTCAAAGGTGGAGATGCCTTCACTCTTCGTAATCTCCCTTATCCATTAAATCCGCAGGCTTCTCCATGTTACTATCACTTTTCTTGTACATTTATCTTCATTATAGTTGTTTTGAAGTTCTTTTCTTTTCTCTACCTATGTGTGCTACTTAAAGCGTCGCAACTGGAACTGCTGGACTTGTATGTAAAGTCCTGTGTTGCAGCTCAGTCAGTCATTTCTTCCTTATTTCTAAAAATTTTGATTCATTGTGTACATCAATTTTCACTTGATTTGATTTTCAGTTAATGGCTCCAGAGCGTTCGGATCTTTCTTTTCATTCCTTTGTGTTCCAGCTGGAATATAGATGGTTTCAGGCCCTAGTTTTACAGTTTCAATGATACACTAGTGTTGCTGTTTGTTCGAATGGGATGAGCTAACTACTGACCTCACACCCAACGTTCCTTTCCTCCTTACTGGGCTTACTACTGACGTCCAAGTTAGGTTTTGGAGTGTGTTCTCCGGAAATTGAATGGAGGCTATGTGTGTGGTGTGGTTGGAGAGAAATCTACCGTCGAACCACTGACTTATGGGTTCGGATCTTACCTCACTTCTTTCAACCACACTCATTGGTCGTATCGTTAGTCATTAAATCCTCACGCAATGAATGTGGGTTATAACTCGGAACAGGGTATCTGCCTACTAACAAAGAAACTGTCGATAAAGCAAGAACGACCAGCATCACATAACATTATATTTCACATCTTCACACCATCTTCCACTATGTACTAACAACGTCCATGTTGCATTTGAACGTGAGCACTTTCAACAAGTGGATTGCGTTGCTATGCGAAAACCATTAGAAATCTTATTGGTGGATACTTCCCCTTTCGACATTACAATTCACGCATTTACAGACAGCCACCGATTAAGCGAAAAAATATACTCCCTTTCAATTAGTTTCTCATCATCGGCTCTAATGTATAGTTTTTTTTTACATCAAAATGTTTTTACCAATCAAGTGGTTATTTTAGTTAATCAGTTTTAGGTATAGGCGGGGGTGAAATCAAGAATTTAAAGATCATCAAAACAAATCATTAATATCTAAGTTTTAAAAGAGGGTGAAAATTAATTACGGAATTCGATATAGGTTGATTCTCGGGCGTTGGCAACAGGTTCTTACATAATCAAGAAATTTATAAAATAGCAATGACGACTAAGAAGAATAGGATGACTCAGAAGAGTTAGGTAAAAAACAAACAAGTTAATAGAATTAGCTATGATTGTAAAAGTTAACAAAGTCGAAAGATAGTTACAAGTGGAGAGGAAAAATCGTTTTAAAAACTTAATACATAGTATTTAGTTGGCCATGACAAAAAAAGGGGCTGCACAAATTTCTTTTGAGCACATAGATTTGGCTTGTTCGGATGAATTCCGATTGCCTCTAATGTACGTAAAAGTCGTACTCATAGACCATGCCAGAGGTTGGGTGATATACGATAAATAACTTTAAAAGCTTTGTTAGAGTCGATTTGATGTTCAGTACCGACGAGATGCGCTAGTACTGAGCTGCGTATAGCTTTACTCGGACCTTTGCCAAATCAAGCTTGGAGGTTTGAATGTGGTTGTACTCTCTGAGTTAGATAGTTAATTTGCGAAGATTTCATTGCCCTACTAGGCAACATTTTCAGCGCATACTTCAATTTGAAGTGAGCTTTTAGATTTCTCCATGAATTTATTTGTCATCTCTCCTGGTGACCTTGAACGTGATTGGTTGTTTTGTGTGTATTCACACCCTCTAGGTTACTTGTATTGGAACTGATTGTTTCCTTGGCTTGAACTTTGATCCTTTGTGTGTGAGATTTCCTTCTTATCGGCTGGTAAATTTTGTCTACCTCGATGTGTCTATTGATTGACGATTCACTGGAATACTAGGCTTCTAAAAATTCTCTAACATTCTTGGTGTTTCCTGCCTGATATTTGAGCGTTGTCCCAGTCGAATCGATATCCATGGTTGTCTGTATGTAGTGATATGAGGAAGTGGATGTCATGTCTTTTGACGGCTAGCTTATGTTCATGGATACGAAGACGAAGGGGACATCCACTTTGGCCAATATAGTGTTTTTATTTATTTTTATTTTTTGATTACAGCTTGATTCCACACTATTTTTGGTACAGGTATGAAATTTTCAGCATGGATATCGGTAGCCCAAATTTTCAGGCCGACCACAGATATCAGGTGTGCGTCGGCAGGGAATCGAACCTCGAGCCATGTGCATGGTCGGCGAGAGTCCTAACCACTGTGCCACCGATGCAGTTGTTACAACTTATTACGTAATGATGTTGGTTTTATCTTTTTTCGTTGCTTAGTCTTTTGGTTGACACAGAACTGAGTGAAGTGACTTTGTTAGTTTGTGTGCGACGTCAATTCCTAAAGGTTTGAAGAGTCTTGCGGTGATTTCTGAAATCTCCTCTATGTATGGTAGGGCGATTTCCTTTGTGCTTTCCTTGGGGGCCTTTGGTTTGATAGGTTGGCTTTGGGGTGGCACAGTGGTTAGGACTATCGCTGACCATGCACATGGTTTGGGGTTCGATCCCCTGCGACGCACACCATCAGGTGATATCTATGGTCGGCCTGCAAAATTTGGGCTACCGATATCACATGCTGAAAATTCCATACCTGTACCAAAAAAATACGGTGTGGAATCAAGCTGTAATCAAAAATTAAATTTAAAAAATTATTTGTCTTCCGATGAAATTCCGTGGATATCCATTCTTTTGGAAGACGTCCATGAGATATCTTTCTTCAATTTTTCTTAAGGTGGAGTGCTGCAACGAGTCCCAGCCCTCTTGAATAGTGTTTGTATACAATCCCTTTTGTGTGTTATTGGATTGTTGCTGTTGTAATTCAGTATTTGGTCTATGTGAGTTGATTTTCTATAAACTTGAGTTCCTAATTCCCCTGTGGTTGTTCGCTTGACTGAGACGTCCAAAGATGAGATTTTGCTCTCGGATTCCTCTTCTCTTGTGAATTTGATGTTGAAGACGTTTATTAAGCTGTGAGTTTCATCCAACTCATTTCTTTTGATTATTACAAATGTGTCATCTACGTAACGTATCCAAATTTCGGGTTTGATCTTCTGTGGGATTATGTTTCCTAGCCTTTGCATCACTGTTTCTGCAATCAAACTTAATATTGGCGATCTCATGGGTGTTCCTTTAACCTGTTCATATATTTGGCCGTTGAACTGGAAGTACTTTGTTAGACATAAGTTTATGCATTCCATCCAACTTGTGTGTTGCATTTTTGATTGTTGTGGGAGGTGTCCATCGTTGCTGAGTAGTTGCTCCATGGTTTATTTTGCTAGTTTCTGTCCAATTGAGGTATATAATGTTGTGACGTCGAGGGATACCATTATTTCCTGGTCATCTATTTGAACGCCTCTGATTTTCTCCAAAAATTGGATGGCAGAATTGATGGAGTGATATCATTGGCTTAGAAAAGAATTAGAAGTGTTTGAAAACAAAACTTGGTATTGGATTCACAAAGTTATTGACTGGTAGTCCAAGCCATACAAGAAAGACGCATGTTATCAGACTTGGCTCTCGACGGGACACTGTGTATAAATAGTTAGCAACACCTGATGGCACAGCAAAAAGTCATCCACATTGGTTCGAAGTGTTTTTTCATCTTCTCGGAAATTACGTGCATCTTCACTAATTATTTAGTAGTTCTTTTCTCCCAAATGTAATTCGTCTCACTCCCCTTCTCTTCTTTTTCTGTGCTTTTTCAACTGGCTCATGAATATACAAAAGTTCTACACTATTCAGTCTTTATTAGTAGTTTGATATTCTCCAGGAATACTCGGCAATAAAATCAAGCCTACTATTCATCCACTCTCATGAGAAAGACTTTTCTATTCCATCACTGAGTCATAATCGTGTTTCAGCAATTAGAACTTTTGATTTCAATGGTTCTTATGGTCTTGTAGGCACGCTTTTGTACTTGGTCACTACATTGTGGAGGTGTGAAATTGCTAACTAACCATCATTCGTACGTACATGCAGTCTTCTACCTACTAGGTTAATTGATTGATGGGTTTATAGTTCCACTGGCGAGTCCGCTGATCTCTTCGACTGAGAGAACCTGGAAGAGTCAGAGAAATCAATGATACTTATAGATGCCTGCTGGTTACCTCTCTCTTTCTCTTTAATTACGGACACAGTGACTTCATTTCAGATTACCTGAAGGATGTAGTCAATCATCCTGTATATGTTTGCATATATCCCATTGTTTATTAATTTCTGAATACAATTTACTTGGTTTTAAGTCACTTCTGTATCTTTATGCTTTTATTGTAAAAGAAATCTTTTTTTATTTAATTATTTTCGCTTATCCAATCGTATACTAACTAGCACACTAAACGTATGCACACAACCCTCCACACTTCTATTAGTCAACTCTTGAGGATCTGGTAGCTCATTGGTTTCAGCAGTTGACTTTTAGCTAGTGAACTCTGGACTCAAATCTCACTGTATTTATTTCAGCCTGAAATCAACTGGATAGTACTCAACAGTCAGTCAACCCTCATGCAGAATAATTTCATCTGAGTGTTCATTCTTCAACCTTGCTTTTATTCTTATTGTTCCTTCAGGTTCCTATTAGAACAACACTTCAGCAGCACATTAA